ACTGCACCCTTTTCTCACACACGCACGCATACTCCAAACCCCATTTTTCCTTCACACACAAGGGAAAGAGCAAACCGAGAGGTTTCAGAATCAGGTCAGAAATCCCAGATAAAACACTCACACACAGTCAGAGAGAGATTTTATATAAACCCTTTTCTCTTCACTCCATTTCATCAACTTTGTCTTTGAAGCTTAGGGTTTTCACTTTTCAGTAGCTTTGGTTAAGGGTTTTTGAGCAAATGGATAGTTACCAAACATATTTACCACCTGGTTTTCGTTTCCACCCAACCGATGAAGAGCTCATTACATGCTACCTGTTGAAGAAAGTTCTTGATAGTGGTTTTACTGGTAGAGCCATAGCTGAGGTTGACCTCAACAAGTGTGAGCCTTGGGAACTTCCAGGTTAGCAATCATTTTTTTTGTTACACATAAATCGTTGTAAATAATGATGATGATGTTATTAACTCTTTTGTTTTTGTGCTGTTTTTTCATGGATTGTTGCAGAGAAGGCGAAAATGGGAGAGAAAGAGTGGTACTTTTTTAGCTTAAGGGACAGGAAGTACCCGACTGGGTTGAGAACTAACCGGGCAACTGAAGCTGGATATTGGAAAGCTACAGGGAAAGATCGGGAGATTTATAGTTCAAAGACTTGTGCACTCGTTGGGATGAAGAAGACGCTGGTTTTTTATAGGGGAAGAGCTCCTAAAGGAGAGAAAAGCAACTGGGTTATGCATGAATATCGTCTGGAAGGCAAACTTGCTTACCATTATCTCTGTACAAGCTCCAAGGTCTATATCCTTCTCTTTGATCGTAAACTTCATGTCTCTTTGCACTTATTCCAATGGGAAAACCTTTAATTTTATTGATGAAAATGGAAGTTTTTACACAGTAACATTGCATGTTAAAAGCAACTGGTTGTTTCTTTGAACAATGAATTGAAACTCATTAATCTGTGTTATAACTCTTGTTACTGTGGTTTTTACCTATACTTTTCAGATTAACACTGTGATCTAACAGTTATATGATCTCTTTAGAAAGAGCTTTTTGCATTTGGACTTTTGGCCAATGAATGTACGTTAAAAGCAAATGGTATCTTTCCATTCATGTATGTACACCTGTTAAAGATTACTATTTTACATGCAAGATCTGATCAGCACTATGAGGTTTAACAGCTTCACTCTTCTGTTAACTCGAAGTCCAATGAAAAGACGCCTGAAATCTCATTTATGAAGTATTTTTTTTATTATCTTCCATTTTCAAGGTGGTTTGGAACCTCTGGTTGTTGTTTCAAGTATTCACTGTTTGCTAAGATTTGCATGTGTTTTATTTGATTATTCCAGGATGAATGGGTGATATCCAGGGCCTTCCAGAAGAGTGGCACCGGCAATGGCGGCGGAGGAGCCAAGAGAACCACCATGAACTCCGCCTCCATGCTGCTCTGCCAAGAACCAAGCTCTCCTTCCTCGGTCTCCCTTCCACCGCTCCTGGATCCCACGGCTGCAACCTGCGGCGTTTCCCTCACTGATCGTGACAGCTGCTCTTACGACAGCTATAACCAATCCGAGCACGTGTCCTGTTTCTCCACCAATGCTGCCACCCTTCCAACCTGCCACGGCGGATTCAACCTTGCGTTGCCACCGGTACCTCTCCACCCCAAATGCTCAACAACAGCTTTGATTCCATTGCAAGGTATACAAGAAATGTGGGTGTTCCAGAGTTTCCAAGCTTGAGGTCCCTTGATGAGAGTTCGCAGCTCCCCTTCTTTCTCTACCAACCGGCGGTGCCACCATTTCACGGTGGATCATCTGTCAACTGGGGTGCTGTATCTGAGGAAGGCAACACCGGGTCTGCTGCTGATGGCAGGATGTCCCACACTGAGCTTGATTGCATGTGGACTTACTAATTAGATTTAGGAACTTTAAGAAGTTTCCATTTATGTGCTTGAAATGACTACTAATTAATGTTGTTGCCCTGCTTACATTTCACTTGCATTACTGTACCATCGTGCATTATTAGTTGTTATCCTTAATTAATCTTAATATTTGTTGCGTAATCCATAATGTTTTACATATTTTTGGGTAAATTATGCTTTAGTACCTAAACTATCAGTTTTGGTCTAGTTTATACTAAACTTTCATTTTTTTCAAAACCATACCTAAAGTTAGTTTTTATTTCATTTTAATACCCAACTTTAGTTTTTGTTTCATTTTAGTACCCTCATTCAAAATTTAATGTTAAGTTTTGATTTTTTTTTTTAAATTTAGGTACTAAAACAGAAAAAATGATAGTTTAAGTATTAAACGGGTTAAGATTTTAACGACGGTGTATTAAAACGAAATGAAACCTAAAAGTTATGTATGGTTTGAAAAAAAGTAAAAGTTTAGGTATTAATTTAGGTCCTAAAACATATTAAAATTGATAGTTTAGGTACTAAATGTATAATTTACCCTATTTTTTGGGTAAATTGCATGTTTAGACCTAAACTATCAATTTTAGTCCGTTTTAGTGCCTAACTTTCAATTTTTCAGAATTATACTTAAAGTTTAGTTTTGTTTCATTTTAGTATCACTGTTCAAAATTTAATGTTAAGTTTTGAAAAAATTGAAAGTTTAGGTACTAGAACGAACCAAAAATGATAGTTTAGGTACTAAATGCATTAAGTTTTTAACAGCGGAGTACTAAAATGAAACAAAAACTAAGGAGCATGATTTTGAAAATATTGAAAGTTTAAGTACTAAAATAGATAGTTTAGGTACTAAATACATAATTTATCCTTTTTTTAACTTTCTATATACTTTAGTTTCTACATACATAAATATATCACGTGTGGCGTGTGAAAAATCTGCCATTGTATAAAAATAAAATATATATCACGTGTTTGTAAAAAATAATTAAATATAACATGAGACTTGAAATATAATATATATCAAACTTTGTTTAAATATAATATTTAATTACATTTATAAAAAATCAATATGATATGTATTATAAAATAAAAAGAACCAAATAATAAAAAAATAAGAAGAGAAATCTTGTTTTACAATTTTAATCTAAATTGTGTACGATGCTTTCTCTAAACTTTATATTTATGTACATAAGGAGTAAATATAATATATAATTTTGATCTTAATAAATATGAAAGCCCTAATAATAAATTACATATAATTCTTATTTAATAAAGTACATAAAAAATAATTAGTTGGTCTAGTAGGATGAGGCACTAGATTCCTTAAACAAGGTCAGGGGTTCGAATCCTGGCGTTTGCGAATAGAGCAAATTGGGTTGGGAGGTTGCACTCGCCTCTGTAGTACCCGATCTATATTTGTCGGTCAATATATCAGGTAATAATGATTAATTTAAAAAATATAATATTCTAATAGACATCTACATAAACAAATATTTTTTTAATTGATTAAACCAATTGATCCATTAATTATTATTTATGTCGTAAAATTTTAAAAGAATGTACCATTTTTTGGATCATCGAATCAAATGAATTTAATAATTTAAATTAATTTTATTAAGTTAAGGTGATTACAAAGTAGTATATGTTCTAAATACTCTCAACCATTTGATAATGACCGCTCAATCACCCACCGTGACCTCTAGGAACAACAATGATTCCCTTAACCACTGAGGTAAGTTGATTCGTGCTGAAATTAAAAGTTTTAGATCGAGAACAATTCAATTCTTTTTTTTCCATAAAAAATTCTTTTTATAACTACATTCTCAACCATCAATTTTCACCAAAATATTTTTTGTAAAATATATAAAACTTATAAAATTAAATCTTCGGATGTTATCTTAATTATATAGGGAAAAAATAGTACAAAATGATGGAGGGATTGAAGCAATACGAAGGAGAGGAGCAAAGCATGCAGAAAATGTTTGGGTGATGATGAAAGAGTGTGGGGGCAGGTTTGGTTATATTAAGTTTGGAATTGAGCACGTGATTGCTGAAATGATTGGCTTTGCAATCAAATTAGGTAATTTGGATGGAATGGCAAAGTACCTGTTTGCTTGCTTTCAGGCCAAGTCTGTCCCATTAATTCAGCCCCACTCACATGTGATGTCCCCATCCCCATCCCCAACTCCCTTATTCTTTCTACCCTTTCTTTCTTCCGTAAACATTTTAGGTAAACTACATAAATGATCACATAATTATGGGCCGTGTCCCGAAATGACCATCATGTTAAGTTTGTGTCAATATGACGATTGAATTATTTAAATAGTTCTAATATAGCAACCTACCGTTAACATTTAACGGAAGTGTTTGCGTGACAGTTAATACAATTGATAATTAGGGCCCGATTCCTTGTAAAATTACATATTCGTGATGCTGACACCTTGTTTTGTTTCTTCCATTTTAGTCACTACTTGTATATGATTTGTTTCCTTGGATTTTCATTTAATGCATTTGATCATGATTTTGTTTTTAATATGTATAATGTCTTAATTTGAGCATTAGCTTTAAAATCTTTTATTTAGTAATGTATTAAATTTATAGATTAAATCCTAGATTTTAGAATTAATCGTTGAGTTAATTATCACATTTGTTATCCAGATAATACATATGTTATTTAACTTGTTCAGGTTTAGGCAAAAAAATAAAACTAAAATAACTTAATTGCATTTAAACCCAAGATCAGTTAGTAACCAAGCAAAACCTTAACCAATAGACTAGATCTAATATTATAGTTAATGATAGAAATAAAAATAGATAAGTGAGGACTAAATCTAGGCCAATTAGAATATGATAACACTTAAATTGCTAAAAAATCTAATATATTATTTATAATTAATTTTAGATTTTAATATTTTAAATTAAATTAAATTAAAAATTTATTCAACATACCGAACTCACGAAAACAATTTAAAATCAAAAGATAAATTTATGATTTGAATCTTAAACTTTTTTCTTATGATCCTAATTTGAATATTAAATTATTTTTAATGATTTCATATATATAATCATTAAAAAAATAAATATGAAAACAATTTCACCGTGATAACAAAACTACTGATATTACCTGAGGTGGATTTTCTCGGGGTATTATAAAAAGAACTTTCATAGGGTGAAGGTCCGCCAATGGAGGTTCTCCTTTGGCCATTCCAATCACAGTTATTCCCAAAGACCATATATCTGCCTGTAACAGAAAATAATTGGAGCGATGGAAAGCCCATTATTCGACAAGGTTTAGCAGACAAAGATATGGATGGCTGCGCATATGTGCTTAATAGATAGAGAGAGCACAAATAGATGGGAGGTGAAAGAAGCAAAACATGTTAGAAAACTCAAGAAATATAAGCACAGCTGTAGAAGTACCTTTTCATTGTATCCATCTGAATTCTGAACCACTTCTGGTGCCATCCAGAATGGTGTTCCTACAAGAGTCTGATGTTGTCAAATGTCAACCATGTTAGTTCATTGCTGATTATACGACTATCACACCATTAATACACAGAGAGAGGGGCAGACCAGACAGAGCAGCCAGAAATTAGGGTGTCACTAAAGGCATTCACGCTTACTGGAAAAATGACGTTAACAAAAGAAAGAGTTAATGTGCGATTAACTCTACTGGTTAAAAAATTGTAAAATGTTCTTGAAGCTCTTGGGATTTGAACCTGTGTGCTTCTAAAAAATATATTAGAATTTTTAATTATCAGGACCTTCAAAAACTTTTAGAGTTAACGACAAGTTAACGTAAAGATCAAAATGGAATGTATAAATAGTCTGAGGACTAATATATAATGTTTTAAAGTTTAGGGACTAATTTAGAATGTGAGTCATAGTTTGGCTGGACATAATGTGTTAAAGTTTAGGGAACAATTTAGGATGGGGTCATAGTTTTACATCTTGTGCAATTAACTCCAAAAAGAAAATGTATTGTACCTTTCTCCGTGACATCGCCCATGTTAGTTGTGCTGAAACACCAAAATCTGCAACCTGTGTCATGGGCACAGACTTAAATGCCAACAGCAGAATGCATATACCTATACCAACTGTATACTTGTATGCATAGCAACTCTAAAGAAATAATTCATGCTAAATTTGAGTCCATTTGAGAGGAAGAAAAGTACCTTAACATCACCATTCTCAGCCAATAAAATGTTTGCCGATGCCAAAAGTGATAGCAGAAAATGTTGGCAGTAGGAATGTAAGTTGATATATATGAACAACAGTTAAAAATCAAATGGCTCAAAAAAACGAGAAGAACAATTTGAAGCAGGCATATACCTATACAAATCTCTAAACCGAATGTTCAAGTGGGTAAAGTGAGTGAATAAAAAAAACCTTTGATATCTCTGTGAATCTTTCCTTCATTATGTAGGTATTCAATTGCATGCAGCAAATCCCTTGTGATACTGGCAATGGACATTTCATCTAGTGGATGACCAGGTTGGAGCTGTTCAGAAAGAGTCGCCATTAAATTTCCAGAAATAAAAAGGAAAGAACGTTATTTGAGAATTATAGTGCAAGAAGAACAGATAACAAACAAGTTCATTGACACAAATATAAGCGGACAAAGGTTAGTTCATATGCAAACCAGAGAGAGAGATGATGAAATTGGCAGTTGTATTATACCCTCCAAAAAAATAAAACGGAGATTGTGTGCTGCATTAGAACAGGGAAAGAAAAGAAAAAAAGACCACCGATGTCTACTAAGAAAACTGCCTTGAAATTGGAGCTAAAAGCACTACCATAGGAAAGGCAGTAGCAATACCTTCAAAGTTTTGTAATTATCTTTACCTACTTTAGATGAAATTTAGCAATGAAAATAGTTCTATAGAAACTTTATCATGAGGTTAATACTTTTGAAATTACACAATCACTATCAGCAACTCTCTCCCTTTGCCACTGCCCCCTACCCCCAACCCCAACAACCCCCTAAAAGAGAGAGAGAGAGAGAGAGAGAGAGAAATCAAGGTCAATGCCCTCTGATTTATGAGGGAAATATTATTAGAAAAGTAACAAGGAAAAAGCTAGGCAAGAATAGTCTTAAGCAATAATACTTGATGAACCAAACACGCAGAAGCAAGTCATAGAAGTAACATACTAGGTCAGCAACTGAACCACCAGCCATGTATTCCATTATTATCGACAGTTTAGTTTGGTGAAGATAGGAGCCATAATACTCTGTGATGTATGGACAGCGGCATTGTGACAAAACAGAAATTTCCTGGAACAAAAACAGAACATATGAAAAACCTAGTAACCTACTCATTGAAAACTTAGGGTACTAGCTCCCAGGTAAGTAAGGCAATACATTCTGGATGTCCTCAATTTCATCCTCGCCGCAAAATGCAAAACAACACGACCATAAGAAACAGCTAAAAACCAAAATTAAAACAAAAACAAAGTGAAATGAAAGAAGATTTATATGCCCCAGCTACTTGTTTGTAAGTAGAGGCTTCTTCAACTCACATGCAAGTTGATCAATTATAATGCTTCTAAGGATGATATTGATAAAGCGAAGATGAATTTACTATGCTGAACACTTGTACAAGCAATTGATGCAATTAATTAACAGCCATATAGCTTTTGGAACAGTCATTCTCATTTCTCAAAGCCTATTTTAGTATATGCACATTCGTAGAGCAATATCATGATATCATCCAACTGCTACAAACATTACAAAACGAAATAATAAAGTAAAAAACACAATTGAACAAAGTAATTATAATACTCATGAAGTTCAGATGTCTCCATATATTCCTATTTAAAGTGTGTATGATTTGATAGACTATCAGCACCCAACAGCCATTTAAGCTTCTTTTACCCCAACTGACAGGAAGACAGATTCTTTCTTTATATTTCAAATCTTAGGGACATGGTATATAGACAACTTAAGACTTGAGGCATTGGTATCGATAATCTAAGCCCACAAACACAAAGCAACTCTAAATTAAGCACTGGTAAAAAAGTTTTATAATGTGCAACATAATTAACATTTGATCACAATTAGCAAGTATAATTACACATTTGATCATCAATATTTATACATTATATAAATTTAATCTTAATTTTAATTAATTAAATAAATTTAATCTCTAATTAAGTGACGACATTAGATTAAAAGATATTTTTTTAGTTTTAATTAATTGAAGAGAAAATATGCAGCATGGGATCAAAGTTCAAACCCAGGACCCAGGGAAACTCTGGGCATGGCTGAACCATGGGGTAAAAGTAATGGTTTACAATATTTTCTATATAACATATTCTAACTAATGAAAAAAATGCTCATGATGGGTCTCAAATCTAAGAATTTTACAATATTTCATGTATATGATCATTAAATTAAAATAAAATTGTACGAACCAATTTAATTAAGTGGTTAAGGAAATTATTGTTATTCCTAGAGGTCACGGATTTGAGCACCAACGACTACAGCAGGGTGATTAAGCGTTAATTGTCAAGTGATTGAGAGTACTTATAATAGATACTACTTTGTAATCACCTTAGCTTAATCAAAAATAAAATAAAATAACATTACGACTAAATTAATAGAATATATATATATTAAAGACCAAACATGTAATTATAAATATTAATGGCAAATAGTTTGATTGTACACTTAAATAATTAAATGGTTTGATTGAAAAATAAAATAAAATCAATAGTCAAAATAAAAATAGACAATAATCAAATGGTCATGTGAATATTTTACCCTGTATTTTAAACAATTCTGAATTTTATCCTTTCCTTTATGGAAATTGAAAACTTTCCCCTCTATTTTAATATTTTGTAATTTAATATTTATAATTTATCAAAACTGAAAAATTAGTCCATTTGTTAATAAAAGATTAAACTCTTATTTTTTTTTATCGATTTACTGATATAATTTAATTGCAATCCCTCACGACCGCTAAAATCAAAATTCAAGTCACTCGATGTCTCGACTTAAACCAATTCCATGTTATTTTGCCTTAAAAGCCTTGGAAAAAAAACATCACGTAGTAGACACTCCTACGTTATATATGACCTTTTGCAGCGTTTGTATCTAAAATCGCAGTTATATATCTAATATTTTGCGGCGTTTATTCCGAAAACGCTATTATAGATCTGACCTTTTGTGGCATTTCCCTCCCAAAAATGTTGTTATATATCTCGACAATTTGCAGTGTTTGTTCCAAAAACGCCGCTATAGATATCGACCTTTTTCGGCGTTTGTTCTAAAAATATCGCTATAGATATCGACCTTTTGCGACGTTTGTTCCAAAAACACCGCAATAGATATCGACCTTTTGCGACATTGTTCTAAAAACACCAAGATAGATCTTGACCTATTTCGGTGTTTTTTGTTCTCAAACGCCGCTAACTTTAGCGGTACTGGTATGGCCGATGCTTCTTGTGGCATTTTTCCTATCGCCGCAAGTGCTTTTAGCGGCGTTTAAAAACGCCGCTATAGGACTAAAAACACCGCTAAAACTCTATTTTGCTGTAGTGTACCCATTTCATTTCTTAAAATGATGATACTTTTAACAATATAGGCTCAATTCCACACGTTTTTTATGTTCTTAATTAAAATCCCAGACTCTGTCAATTTCTAAAATTGAAAGTTTTGGGTTTGAAGAGGTTTCTTTAGAGCTTCATTTGTTGTATCTCTATATATAGAGTCATATTCATAACACGAAGAGCAAACTGAACTTTTGAGCCAAAAAAAAAAAAGAAGAACAGTCTTCAAATTATGAAATTTCTTTCACTTTTCTTAGTTTTATTAGCTTGATTTGTTTGTTCTATGTTGGTGGGAAAGAAGGCTGGGTTTTGCACCCAAAAGAGAAGTACAATGAGTGGGCTGGTAAACGGAGGTTCCGAGTCAATGATTCACTGAGTAAGTTCTTTAAGTGTTTTGATTGCTTTTTGTTGTTGTTGGATTGTTTATGTTTTCTGTTTTTTTTTTACAGTTTTCAAATATGAGAAAGGAGCAGACTCTGTTTTGTTGGTGAAGAAAGATGAATACTACAAGTGTGAAAGAAATCATCCTTTGATGGAAATGAGCAATGGAAGTTCTAAGTTTAAGTTTGCTCATTCGAGTCCCTTTTTCTTTATTAGTGGGAAAGAGGGTCATTGTTCAAAGGGTCAAAAAATAATCATTGCTGTCATGACTGTGAGTCACGGGACTCTATCGGCTCACTCGCCCGGGCACCATGGCCCATCCCCTTCACCGACTCACTCTTCCGGGCACCATGGCTCAGCTCATTCCCCGACTCACTCTCCCGGGCACCTTGGTTTATCTCCTTCTCCAAGTCATTCTCCCGGACACCATGGCTCATCCCCTTCACCGACTCACTCTCTCGGGCACCATGGCTCATCCCCTTCACCGACTCACTCTCTCGGGCACCATGGCTCAGCTCATTCCCTGACTCACTCTCCCGGGCACCATGGCTCATCCCCTTCACCGACTCTCTCTCCCGAGCACCATGACTCATCCCCTTCCCTGAGTCACTCTCCTAGGCACCATGGCTTTCCCCGAGTCACTCCCCTGGGCACCATGGCTTTCCGCGAGTCACTCTCCCGGGCACCATGGCTCATCTCCTTCCCCGAGTCATTCTCCCATGAATCATGGCTCGTCCCCTTCACCGACTCACTCTCTCGGGAACCATGACTCAACTTCTTCCCCGAGTCACTCTCCCGGGAACCATGGCCATGTTGCCAAGCCACCTACATGTTCAACTATAGGTCCAACACATTCTCCTGATCACCATGGCCCTATTTCAAGTCCTCCATCTTTGGTTCCAAATGGCTCACCCATGGCTCATGGTCCGACTCATTCACTGGCGTCATCTACTCATCATACTCCACAGTACGATCCTCTGCAGTCTCCGGTGGCTCATGGCCCTACAACATCTCCTTCACCACAAGCGTCAACTCCCTCTAGTTCTTCACCAAAATTGTCTACCGATTTAAGTCCATCGGCACCGTCTACCAGTTCAAGTCTGTAACACCCCCAACCCGTACCTGACTCGGATACGAGTTCGAGGTATCACATTGACTAGTCAAAGCATATACTTTTATAAAAAAACCATAGAAAATTTAAAAGTTTTATTCTATAAAGTAATTCTTTTACATAAACCTGTTTAAACCTTAACAGACTCTATCAGAGCATTCATATATATAATGACTTAGTTACATGCCAACATACTAAATTATATGACAAGACATACTTTACAAAATATTTCTGATCTGAACTTTGCGCGGAGATATGCTACTTTACGGATCCGAAGCTTGATCTTCTTACTTATCCACACCTATGTGTAAGACTCTTACACGCTAAGTCATAGGCTTAGTGAAACATGTAAATATATAAGGTAAACTAACAATTGCATGAACATCTTATGTAATACACATTAAACTTATACACCTATTGAACTCATCACTAACATGTTTATCCTTACTTATTTCCTTGTCATTAATTTCATTCCATTATATGAGCATATATTGAACATAAACATATAATATAACTTCAACACACAACAATACATGAGTAAGTACTATGATCATATCATGCATAACCATATAACATCTCATATCACCATTACACATATGCACTTGTTACCATTACTATCATATGATCCTAACTTATTACTTATACATATCACATATCACATATACTTTTTCATGAGAAACACACGTATCATTATATCAAATTATATTTCTTTTCAAAGCCCGTGCACACTATTGAGAACTTAAGGTATGTGAGTACATAGAGGTTGTGCACAATGTTGTCACCACAACTCATATAAATCCCACTAGGGGCGCGTAGAATTTGTCCCGTAGGACCACTGTGTCCCGAAGGACCATTATGTCCCGAAGGATCACTATGTCCCGAAGGACCATTATTTCCCGAAGGACCACTATGCCCCAAAAGACCACGTAGACCCTCGACTCTTGGCATGCCAACTATACCTATAGCTATCTTATTATATAACATGAGCATTATTATTCTTCTTTTTACATATTCACGTAGGCATATAGTTCACTTTCACATAACATATTTCCATGTAATTCACATTCACTTATCACATAGCTTTTCACTTTTTCTTGTATTCCTTTTCACATAGTTCATAACCATAATTCTTATCTCACAACACATGTTCGCATATACATGTTATCATACAACCCCTTCATTCAATTATAACATCTAATCTATCTTATTATACTAACATGTATTCATATCATTCATTTCACATACATAACATATCATATAACCTTTTAATAGAGACACATATGAGTCATATTATTTTCACATATATTTTATCATATATCTCATGATCACATTACCTATTATCATACACACACATGCATTTACATAGTTCACACATAAAGATGCATTCAACAATTAGACATATGCATTTACTCATATACCATACATCTAACACCATATCACTACATGTTTATACTTTAGTACTTATATCATATAATATCGGAATTAGGCTCATCGCAAGTCTTAATTCCTTAACATAACATATACTTACTATCATGTACTCACCTGGTCTCAATGAACACTCTTAAGCTCTTGTTTTCTTTGCGTATCTTGCTCTGCAGACCTATCCGAACTTTGCTTTCGATCGATGTCTACACAATCATATATTTATACTATCAATATTCCATTGATATACTATAATCTATAATTTCTTAGACTAAAAGAAAGATTTATTTCATTTCCTATTTAAGTGCATCGGTACATTATACCATGCATCGATGCATCCCTTAACATGTGCATCGATGCACTACCCATGCATCGGTACACCAATCACCTTCGATGTTTTCATTTTAGGGGGGTACATCGATGCACTCCTTATGCATCAATGCACTAAGGGCATTCGATGTTTATTTAATTGAGAGTGCATCGATGCACACAACCCATAAATTACATCTTGAGCACGAAAATATCTTGTTTTGACCCCAAATTCTACTTATTAATCATTCCTTGTACCTTAAAACTTATCTATACATATATAAACCTTCTTATAACACTATAACACTTTACCATCTCCCATCATCCACCATAATTCTTGAATTAAAGAATTTCATCAACTTTTCCATGTGTTTTAAATTCAATCCTATCACGTTTAACTTCTCAATTAACCCATTGACAAGTCAAATCCATCCTTAGAACTTCAAAAACCTTTATATAACAAAAGTTCATTTCTAAACTCTTAATAGAAATTCCTTTCTAATTCTTTCCTCTTGGTGTTTTAGGCTTATATAAGCTTTCTTTAAGCTTATATAACACTCAAAGAATAAAACACAACTCTAATATTCAAGAATTAACCATCAAAATTAAAACTCACCTTTGAGGCTTGAGCATGAACACACGGGAAGAAGAAAGAAAGAAGAAAAAGAAGAGTTCCAGATAACTCTCCAAATCCAAGTGTTTCATTCTTATAAAAGGGGGGAAATATCTTTTAAGCTAAAATTACCATAATGCCCTTATAATCATTTCATATTTACCCTTTCATCTAATAATGAAATATTCCTATTAAAATTCTTGAACTTTCAATTTTTCCTAAATTGATCCCCAAATTTTAAAAATTCTCATTTTGTCACTAACCCTGATTTCAAGATATTACAAAGTCCACCAACACCTCCGCAGGGTGTATCTCATTCTCTCATTGCTTCTTCGTCGTCCGGTTCTCATGCTCCGTCTGGAAGTCAAACCATTTCTCAGAGCAACCATTCATCTCCTGTGCCATCGAGTTCATTTGCTATAGTGACGTATTCGAGTGTAGTGGTGCTTGTTGCTAGCGTTTTGTTTAGTATGATCGTTGTCTGTCTTGAAGGTGGGTTTTAGAAATGTTTAATAATTCTTAATGTTTCTTATTTAGGGAATTATTATAGTTGATTTTTTTAATTATGGTTATTCGATATTCTATATTACTTTATTGTTGATTAATGTTGTGATGTTAAATGATTTTTGGACTAGGTTATGAAATAGAGAATTATTCTACATGAAATTCTCTATCAGTTGGTATAAATATTTATTGGTAAAGATGCTTGTGTGTTGAGATTTGGGTGATTAGGGTTTATGTAGGGTTGGTGGTTTTGAAGAATTGATCAAAGATGTTTATGTTTTTAAGGTTTGAGATTAATTCTAAAGCATATATGATGATTAAAATTATTTGTACAAGCTTATACAAGGTTTGGCCATACTTAGGGTTTTAGAAGATTGTTTGATTTTGGTTTATTTTGATGTTGTGATGATTGTAAATACATGAATTTAATTATAGGAGGTTAAATTCATGCTTGGAATTGAACAAAAAGTCACCATGGGAAACTTGGAGCATTCGACCATAGGGGATTAATTAGGGGGAAAATGCTGAAAATTTTTCCTATGGTCTAGAATGAATATTAGAAGTATTTTATGTGACTTGGAGATCAATTTGGAAGCTTGAATAAAGAAAAGGGCTAATATACAAGCTTTGAGAATTGTGGGGCATTATTGAAAGAATGTGATATTGGAGGGTTCAATGTTAATTTTCAATAATTGTAATGCTGGAAATTTAAGTTAGAAAGTTGACTGGAACTAAATTGCAAGCTTGGTAAAGTTAGAGGTGGAATTCGAAAAGTCTCAATATTATAGGGACTTGAATTCAAATGTGGAAGTATCATTTTAGAAAATTAGAACAATTCTGGAAATTTTAGAAGTATGCTGATTTTTTAGTTTAATTATTAAGTTGTGATTAAATTATAAGTTTATAAAGTTGGTGGTTGAATTTGAAAAGTCTGAGAAAGTTTAGGATGAAATTACAAGTTTTGAATGTCAAAGTGTTAATTTGAGTATTTTAATAAGGTACTGGAAATTTGAGTAATTAATGTGCAATAATCATAATGATGAAGATCATTATGAATTTAATGGAAAAGTTAAGGTGAATTTTAGAAAGAATTCAAAATTTGTGGCTTGATTTTGCAAATAGTAAAAGTTGAAGGGCTGATCATGAACAATAAATATTTATGGAATCTAATGAATAATTTGAGAAGTTTGAAATTATGAAGGAAGTATGATTTAATTTTATATCAATTTAAGTATTAATTTTATTTATATCGAATTTTATATTTAATCATTTTATGTATTATATGATGTTGTTCGACCACGGTAAATCTAGTTATCAAAGTAGCTCAAAAGGTAAGGTAGAAGTATGAGATCGAGAATATTTATCGTGGAGAAGGTTTGATAGCGAGACAAATGAGAGTACATTTAATTTGTATTTATATTATTGAATAAACATTGACTTGTGATGAGCCAGTGTCGGAGTTACTACATTAAGAAGTAACTCCTAATGTTATGTGAATTATGATTCAAGCCTATATATGCTCATCAGATAATTAATAGAAGCATGGAATGAGATAAGGAAGCTAATTAAGGAAAAATGCCTAGAATTCAAGATTTTAATAATAAGTTTAGAAAATCACCATAAATTATACATAAAATATTAGACGATGAAATTTATACCGTTGGATTTGTAAATCAGTCTAGTTTACTATAAAACAAATTCCTACTGATTTTGAGGTATATATAAAAAGATACAAAACTTTAATCGAGGGTAGGTTAGAAAACAGGGCAACAAAATCTGCTCAAAACAACTTCTATTAGTCAACTTTGAAAATTTGTTATAAATTGTACAAATTGAACTAGAAAAAGTGCCTTATATGGTTAGATTCATATTTGAGTCTAGTTTCTATTTGTATAAATGGAATAAATTTTAAATATTTATATTAATACATAATAATATTTATTTAAAGGTAGTACAAACTGTCGAAATATGAAATTGTGATAAATCGTGAAGAAGTGAATCGAAAGCAAAGAATTAAGCTTAAAACTTAGTGAGAATTATGTTTTGACTTGTATATAAAGTATTAATGTGACTGCAATTTATTTATTTAATTATTTTGATTGAGGAAGACTTGCGATAAGTCAACCTCATGTGTTTTAATTTTAAAAATATGATTTAATTCTGATCATGGAACATTTCTATAATGTTTATACAAATGTTTTATAGATGATTTAGTGTATGAACTGTCCATGTTCGTTTTTGAAAATGATGAAGTAAAAATGATTTTAAATTTAAAATAATGATTATGAACGAATAAGATATTATCTGAAAGCCTATTGTATGTTGCATTGAGAGTCGCAAGTACAAGTGACATGCCATGAGGTGGAGTGATTATGATATATTATGGTGTTATCTGAAGGTACATTAGTATATTTTCGATGTGATTGTATCTTTTATGCATATATTGATTCTGATGTGATTGCACTTTGTGTGTATATTACGATTTTGATGTGATAGCACTGTGTGTGCTCATTGCCGATGTGATTTGTGCTTATATGTTTTGATTCTGTGATAGCACCATTGGTGCGAATGATATGATTGAACTGAAGTGCATAACATGATTCTGATAAAAGCACTGAAGTGCTTATTGATCACACTCATCTGACTCACGTACGTTACATTCTCATAAATGTACATTGGACTATGAAAATGAAACAAGGAAAGTTATGAAAATGGCTGAAAGGAAAAGAATATGAATATGGAATATGAAAGTTCTTAAATGTGTCTGAATGAAAAATATATGCAAAGTATGCTATTTCTGTTGTTGATTATCGTGATTTTGATAAAATTATGAGATCATTATTTTCAGGTTTCCTAGTTAAGGAATAACAACTTGGAAAATCCGGTTTGATAGTTTAAAAGATTTTATTTACATTTATTTTTATGTTTTGAATTATTTACAATATTCTACCGATATAACTCACTATGATTTATTTATTTATTTGCATCACTAAGTTGCATTTAGCACGTAATTATATTTTTATGCGTAGGTTCGAATCAAGAAATGGGAGTGTAGTGAGGAGCTTGCTAGCATCTTATGGAAATCAATCCTACTGACAATATCAGTAAGACACCTTAACTTTGACTTATTAGTGGCATGCACATTATATATGTTGGATTGCATTATCAGATTTATTTTAAACAAGGGCCTGTAATAGTAATTTAAGAATGTTCTAAATTTAGTTAATTTTATCTATAATCGTACTTATGAATATATATTATGAACGATTTTAAATGGTTTTAAATCAATCAATGTTAGGCAGTTGAATATAGATATGAAACAATATGAAACTGCCTAATGGCTATATAAAATCAGTTTTGTTTGTAACGAAAAATTATTAAGTTATGACTATATATGCTAATGATATAAATATAAAATTTACAAAGAGATGTTTTAAATTGAATTTTAAAAAAAAATTAACAATTATTTGTCAATGAATGATTTTGTAAAGTTGATGTGGTATCTTTAGCTCGTATTTCAAGATGTATACGGGCTAAGGGTGTTACAGTTATGAATATCTATAAGAAATTATGTTGCGCCCAAGAATATTTTCGGTTGCTAAGAAAGTAGGTTACGATATGGAATGTTAATTTTATGTGTAATAAATTTGGTTGAGCCTAAAATGTTACCAGAGTTTAAGCTGATGAGGCCATAGACAATATCACGATAACAAAATAAGTTAACATCTAAAAATGTTATGAATATCTATAAGAAATTAGATTGTGTCCAATAATGTTATCGATCGCAAAATAGGTTGCGATCTGAAATGCTAATTTTATGTGTAATAAATAATAAATTTGATTGTACTAAAATGTTACCATAGTTTAAGTTGAGCGACCTTAGACAATCTCATGATAACAAAATAAATTAAAATCTAAAAATGTTATGAATATCTATTAAAAATTAGGTTGCACCCAATAATATTATTAGTCGCTAAGAAAGTAAGTTACAATTTGAAATGTTAATTTGATGTGTAATAAATTCAATTGAGTCTAAAATGTTACCATAATTTTAAGCTGACGAGACCTTAGATATTCTCATGGAAACTAAATATGTTAAAAGCTAAAAATGTTATAAATATATATAATTAATTTGGTTACGACCAAGTATCTTATCAGTGAAGAAGTATTAATATTTATTATGAGTAAATTGAAACCTAGTTTGAAATTTTAAATATTTATATTTAATTTATGATGACTGATACTTTTAAATATTGAAAAAATTGAAGATAAAATCAAAAATTAAAATAATAATACCTATATGCTGGTGATCGATACTTTTATATATTTAAGTATTACTCAACTTAGTACAAATTGTATCCTTTATGTGATCAACAATTACATCACTCAAGCGAGCAACACCCGTAAACTATTTAAAGTTTCGTTCTTCCCACATGTTATACACAAAGTTAGTCCAATCCAACTTAAGAATACACACAATAAGTGAGTTACCTTTACAGTTCTCGAGCTTCAAGTCGAGTTTTAATTTTTTTATTTCGAGTTTGATCCTAGTTTGATAATTTTAAACTTACGAATTTTTGAGTTGAGTTGAACTTAATTTTAAATTTTTCGAGTAGAGTCGAGCTAAGCTCATTTACAACCCTAAGTCAAGAGTTTGAATCTTAACACTTACTAATGGAGCAAATTAAGTTGAGATAGTCGTCCCATAATAAATATTTACAAAACCCGATTTGAACTAGTCGGTCTATTAATAAAAAAAAGTTACCTCAATAAACTTAATCAGTAAATGTTTTTAAAAAATCTAGTTTAATTATCGATTAAAATTTTAATTGATACTTAACATTTGTATTTATTCTATTTATAACCTCTTAAATGTAAAATATTTACACAAAAACAAACAACATTTGTATTTATTCTATTTATAACCTCTTAAATGTAAAATATTTACACAAAGACAAACAAAGCCGACATTGAATAACATAATCCTTTCATAAACTCTATTTGAAAATAAATATTGGTCAATTATAATTAATAATTCCATAAATAAACTATATTTATTACTGCTAATATCTAACAAGCAAGATTAGTAATATAACATATTCATATTAAATATATTTTTAAAAATAAAATATGTGATAATTTCTTAGCTTTGTGTAAACAATATTTGAATTGGAAGAAGATAGCTCAGGGAAACAAAAGGAAGGGGAAGAGAGAGAGACGCTCTTTCTTCTTTAATTGAACATTTACTCAAATTCTCTGCTCTTTCTCTGTCCAACTAAGAACAAAAAAAACCATTTCTTTCCCTTGGAAGACTCGATCATTTGTTATCTTACCAGCATCAAACTCAGGTTTGTTTCTTAAGTTAGCTTCTTTCACCTTTACTCTTCGTTGAACTGTTTTCCATTTTTCAAAACTACATTTAGATTTTTTGTTACCAGCAGCTGCTTTTGGATTTGATTTCCAGATTTGGGTTTTGTTCCTTTCGTTCAAAGACGTGATCTTTACTGATTTCCCGTTTCTGGGTTTTGCCTATATTTTGACGGTAGCTATGAATCTTGAACCTGATTTAGATTTACAGGTTTGGCGATTAACAGGATTTTGATTTAGAGTTTCTCTTTTAAGCATCGTAAAAGTTGGAAATATCAACAAAAAATTCCTCGACAGCTTTTTCTAAAACAGTAGCTTAATCCCAATGTGTATTTAACAAATTGTTCGGTATTTTTAATGGTGTTTTAGCTAATTGTTTATTTGTGTCTGGTTCCTTTTCTTAGTATGCTGTCCATTTTTTTGTATTTTTCATGCTATATAACACTCTTTCTTTTTCATTTGCCAATTTGTTTATGTTTGATTCGTCGACCTGGTCTAGTTTCCATTACTTTATGTTCTGGGAATTAGATAACAGGTTAACATAGAATAAAATAGTTTTTCAATGATACAATAAACCAATATCGACGGTTGTTGTTCATTTAACATCTATTTTCAAAGGTATATCTTGGAATTATATGTTGCAGGAAAGGCCTTTGATCTGAAGATCGATGGTATTTGGGGTTTCGAATTATATCCGAATCGGTGATGATCGAAGGTGTTGCTGTTGAGATTGTCTGTTAGACTCTTAAGGTTCAAAAATGGTGTCGATGTTGAACATGGAGAAGAAATGGGTGTTTCCCCTTGTGATAAGTTCTCTCATATGCACGATCCTTGTTGTTACCTGTTTCGACATGGGGCTCGTTTCTTCGGTTCGCAAAATCAACTCCTTCTTCTCTAATTTCCCGGCTTATATTTCGATGAATCAAAGGAAGCCGGGCTATGCTGAGTTGATGATCGACGTAGGTCCTTTCCCGCCATCTCCTGGTCCGGCATTACCTCGTTTTGCATACTTGGTTTCTGGATCGAAAGGTGATCTGGAAAAGCTTTGGAGAACACTTCATGCCCTGTATCATCCTAGGAATCAGTACGTTGTTCATTTGGACCTCGAGGCACCGACCGAGGAGAGATTGACGCTTGCTTCCAGAATAAATAACCATACGGTGTTTTCGAAGGCAGGGAATGTTTATATGATTACCAAGGCTAATATGGTTACGTATCGAGGGCCGACCATGGTCGCCAATACGCTCCATGCTTGTGCCATTCATCTCAAGAGAAGTAAAGATTGGGATTGGTTTATCAATCTCAGTGCATCGGATTATCCCCTAGTGACTCAAGATGGTTAGTCTCCATCACATGCCTTATCTGAGAACCGAGTCGGTTGATATCGTTTCCTTTCCGGTGTTTGTTTATTCGGTTAGCACCAAAAGGTCATTGATCAATTTGTTCGTTATCTGCAGATCTTATTTATGCATTCTCAGATTTAGACCGGAACCTTAATTTTATTGAACACACAAGCCAGCTTGGTTGGAAAGCGTAGGTTTTCTCATTCTTTCGTCTTGATCTAAAACCGTTACATACGTCGAATGCCGACATATTTGCTGGTTCTTGTGCAGGGACGAACGAGCTATGCCTTTGATTATGGACCCGGGACTCTACATGTCAACCAAGTCTGATATATTTTGGACTTCACAGAATCGAAAATTACCTACCGCATTCAAATTATTTACCGGTTAGTACACCGTTGTATGCCGGAAACTTCAAGACGTTTTCATTTCTCTTAAGGATATGAGCATTGAAATGTGACTTATCCGAATCTATATGCCGTATGCATCGGTTTATTTATGCTGCTGGATGGATCTTTGATCTTAAAGCAGTGCCCTGGTTTTGTTCTGCATATGCTGGAACTGCAAATTATATTCATACATATAGATAGCATATATTGAAACCTTGCTTTCGGTTAACTGTTTCCGTACATCGTCTCTGGTTGCAGGTTCGGCATGGACGGTTATGTCGCATTCGTTTGTCGAGTTTTGCATTTGGGGTTGGGATAATCTACCGAGAACTCTTCTCATGTACTACACGAACTTCGTCTCCTCGCCTGAAGGCTACTTTCAGACTGTCGTATGCAATGCTCCGGAGTTTGCCAAGACTGTTGTCAACCATGATTTGCATTATATTTCATGGGACAATCCCCCTAAACAGCACCCCGCACATCCTTACCCTTAATGACTCGGACATGATGGTTCGAAGTAATGCCGCTTTTGCTCGGAAATTCAATCAAGACGACGCCGTGTTGGATAAGATCGACAAAGATTTGCTCGGCCGGGAAAAGGGTAGCTTCACACCGGGTGGTTGGTGCAGTGGCGAACCGAAATGTTCGGAAGTTGGAGACATGAACAAGATCAAGCCAGGTCCAGGAGCTCAAAGGCTTCATCAACTCATAGCTACGTCGTCTTCGAAAGCGATTCTCGATCGGGATCAATGTAAATAGGTTTCAAGGTGAGGGATGTTCGATCAATGAGGCTGATAAATTTGTATCTAACAGTTTTGCTGCAACCGACAGGTATTCAAACTCAGCCATGTTCAGGATTAAAAATGATACTCAATAATCAAAACTCAGCCAAATCCGAGCTTCCGATCTTCGTCTAACATGACCGGAACCCTTGGATTTGTTTCTTTAGAACTGAAGAATCACATCATCTGCATGAAAGTTCCAAAATAACTTGAGGGAATGAATCTTGCACAGTCTTAATATGGAATCTCCATCTCCCCAAGAGCACCGGCCTCCTGTTCTCGTTACTCGGAAACATACTTATAATCATTTATCGTAAGATAAACACCTTATCGACACAATTACCCGAATCTTCTAAAAATAATAATTTTCTCTTTTACGACTAAAATTAAATAAATTCTAACACCAGATAATATTTTGATCAATCATTATGATATGAAAGTACAACAATGTAAATTTGGAATAAAAGATTCACATCCTATCATTTAGAAAATGCATACATGGACAGGCTTACTAACAATCTAACATGCATGGATTATAAATTAAAATAGAAATAATTTAGTATATATATAATATTCATTTTACAATATTTCATACTTTGCGCATATATTTCATATTTGAACCAAAAGAATATATAATTTTTATCAAATAAGACAACATTAACTAAATTTATCATGTTATTCATAATTTATATTTAAAAATATAAAAAATATCCGTGTTATTTCTTGAGAATCCGTATTCGAGTAACATAAATATCAGGAGTGTGAGCATTCAATGTCGAAAGATTGAGGGTTTATTTTAACAAAAACTATCTTGTACTGCCATAGCCATGAATCGAAAAATCATCCCTAACCTAAACTTTAAGTGTAACAAAAAAATTATCCTATACTTATATTAATCAATATATATATATTCTAGTGTAAATGTTGGACCCATACAAAATATTTTGTATATTTTCTTATAATTTCAGACATTTTTTTTCTTTATCTAATAAACTAAGGTAAGAAAACTAAATTTATCATGTTTTATTTGCTTGAAGTTCTATTATTTTACAAAAAATGTAATTTTCATTTTTCTATCAAAACAGTCATCATCAAGAGAACGGAAATCAAAGCATTCAACAAAAAATTAAAGACTAAAAAAGGAACAAAAGATCTAAAGAGGGACCTGCATTTTTCTTAAAGGTAAGTGATCTCCCTCACATTTTTAGCAAAATTCCCCTGATTTCAGTTTGAATTTGAACACCTGGAAATAAAATGATTTCATTTAAACTGTGATTAGCATTTTGTTTCTGTTGTTTTGTTGCATTTTTTTGGGTTTGGGTCTTATCCCTTTCTCTCTGCTTCCATGGATAAAGGCCCAGTTTTGTTGAACCAGATCACAAAAAGTGAACGAAATTCTAAACTGGGTTTTAATTTCTAATGCCAAATTTATATTTTTGATGTTCCATTTGTTTGTTGGATTAATAGAATTAAATACCATTAGTTTCTTGATCAAGCTAAAGTGAATCATGAATTTTTTATGCTAGGATTTAGGTGGAAAACGTCTCCATTCTGCCACATTTAATGGCTTCTCATTCTTAGCAGATTACAATCACATTGGTTAAAGGAATAGTTCTATTACGATTTGTCATTGGCTTTTTGTATTTTCATGATCAAAGGTTTGATATTAGAGGTTTCAGCTCGCGGTATTGCTTTTTTTTCTTCCCATTATTATTCAGCTCGCGGTATTGCTTTTTTTTTTCTTCCCATTATTATTCAGCTCGCTGTATTGCTTTTTTATCCATTGTTTATCAATGCATTCATTAACACCATTAATATGTATATATTGTGAAGTCATCCTTACGAACGGTGACTAAAGTTGTAGTGGATAGTCATGGAGAGAAAAATAGTGGAAGGATGCTAAGTCCTAGCTCCAGGATAATCTAATTCGTGTTCATTGTAAAAAGATGTAGATTGGTTTTTTGTTTGACCTGAACTTCCAAAGTACATTTGCAAAAAATAAAGTTATGATTTCTGTCTAAGATGTTTTGAGGAAAGGAATTCCTGACTTCCTGCTTCTTTGGTCTGTTTGTTTTAACAGAAAACAATCACATTGGCTTTCGGGAACAAGTTCGAAAGTTAAATGCTTCAAAGAAATGTGTTACTGGTTTATCTATTGATATGTGTGATAGAGGTTTGATTATCCATACAATGTTTGCTGTATTTTTTTTTTATCTAAACTGTGAGTTGAGTGATTGGATTTGCTTCTAGCTTCCAGCTGAATAGTATAATTCTTCATTGTACGTCTTTTTGTTAGAATTTTTGTGGGGTTGTTGTGAGCGAATGATAGGGTGAAAGGAAATGAGTGAGCAACTAGGGGTTGGGTTTGAGATACAATGACTGGAGGGTCATTGGGTCTACGTACAGGGAGTTATGGGTCATTGCAGAGCATAAAAAATGTTATTGCTGGCGGAGGAAGATTGTTGCACTCTAAACCAGTTGTTAGTGCACGAAAGAACCCAATCCTGATGCTTTCAGGTTCTAGGGAAAAGGAGAGATCTCTCCCCTCCATTTGGTATCGGTGTTTGGGTCACCGGAAAGTTTCCATGCTGTTTCTGGTTGCCTTTTCCCTTTTGGTCTTCGTCTTGGGTTCTTTTCTTGTCAACAAAGGTCTGTTCCTTTTTCTGTTACTCTGGGTTCTTGAATTTTGATTTCTAGAGCACTAAGCATCGCCTGACATGTTTTTTCTGTACTTGGTCGTTTATATGCTCACTTACTGATGTACTTAGTCCTGACTTTTCATTCTTAGCACAGTAATTTAATCGAGACAATAACTTATTGATCTTTTTCTGGTTTGCATTCTGTATGATCGATGAGACAGAAAGCCGTAGTCCAACTGTTGATCAACGGATTGGAACTATGAGCATGACTCATTATCTGAACGGTGCCCATAGTGAAGCTTCACAGATACTTGGAAGGAAGGATCAGCATAAAGATAAAAAGTATTCTGCAGCAAATAGTGTGAATGGGGGTGATGGAAATAAATTTAAAGTATCTGATTCTAAAGGTGCAAACCATCCATGCATGAATTTCACATTTCCTCCTCCCCCTCCACCTCATCTTAGACGGATTGGGCCTCGGCGTAAGTTTAGGTTCATTATTCTTTTTTTTCTTTCTCATAATCAAAGTTGCATTAAATGGAATTGTATTAATATTTTTCACATGGATGCATAAAGCAATATTTTTAATTAGAAGCAACCACATTTGTTTAATAATAACATAATATATCAACATAAAGCCATTGGATTATTTATTATGTTCCTTTTTTGTAAATCATAATCACTTTTGCACCAAAAAGTTGATCCATGCATGAGCATAAGAATGAAATAACATTCTCATCTTATCTTGCTTGCTTCAATATATGCATATTTGGATTATGTTTCATTATCTTGCCACTAACTTTTTTTCCTGCTCATCCCTTTTCCAGCATGTCCAGTATGTTACCTCCCCGTGGATCAGGCCATAGCTAGCATGCCAAGCTCCCTATCAGAATCTCCAGTGCTTCATAAATTGGTGTATGTTCATGATGAAAATCCAATCAAAACTGAACCACATGGGGGCTCTGACTTTGGTGGATATCCATCTCTAAAGCAAAGAAATGATTCGTTTGATATAAAAGAGTCAATGACAGTCCACTGTGGGTAGGTTTCACTCTCCTATCAATATACTCATTGACAACAGTTCAGGTAGAGATTTCTGTGATTCTTTTGTTATTCACGTTGCATTTAAATGATTGAACGAATTATCTGTCTTCACAAATAGATACTGTTTTCCTTTTGCTTTTTAATATTGTAATTCCATGTACTTTCTGTCAGATTTGTCAAGGGAAGTAAACCTGGTCACCAGACTGGATTTGACTTTGACGAGTCTGATCTGGAAGAGTTGCAGCAGTTCCACGAGATCATTGTTGCATCGGCTATATTTGGTACTACTAGACATTCTGGATTCCACAATTTTCTTACATTTATGCATGCTTTATCCTCATCATTGCTTTATTTTTGCTCTCCAGGGAACTATGACGTGATACAACAGCCCAGGAACATCAGTGAACTAACAAAGAAAAATGTTCCTTTCTACATGTTTATTGATAAAGAAACAGAAGCATATATGAAGAAAAAAAGTGTGCTGGATGACATTAAAAAGGTGGGCTTGTGGAGAATTGTTGTGATTCACAATGTTCCTTACAGTGATGCAAGACGTAATGGCAAGGTTAGCATACTTCAATATTGATTGATTTGAGCTTCATTTTTTTGTCATTATTTGTACTTTTTGTAATCTGATTCACCTTTAAACATTTATCAAATACTGGTGTATATGGTCCTGCCCCGTGTCATAGAATTTATGATTAGTGCTAGTTAACCAAATTTGATGTGTAGTCTCTTCTATTTTAGCAACAATTATGAGCTTGTTGTAGGGTAGTTGGGTTTGTTGTCCGGTTCTGAAGCTACCAGTGCTTTCTTTTAAAGCATTTTCGAGGGTGAGAAGAGATAAGAGGTCATAAAGGGGAATTGGGTCGTTGATTATCATTGTTGTCTCTGTTTTTTCTCTTCGAAATGGACCTATAGTTATATACTTTAGTTTACAAAATAAGTGTAATGACTAGATCAATATTTGGTGAAAGATCAGGGAGATCTGATGCATTAATGCTTATCAGAAATTTCTTTAGGTTATTGCACTTATGCAACGTTTGGTAGGAGTGTTACCTTTTCCTTATGTTTTAGTACATGAGTTAGCAATAAGCTACCTTCACTAGGTAACTTTTAGCCATTCACATGGCTCAATTTGAACAAAGATAAGGAATATATATTGCTTATTTTGAATAGGTATTAGTTTTTCCATGACTTTTTACTATCTTTCCAACTGCAAATTTAAATTTATAATAATTCTTCTGTATATTAGACATACTATTTTAAAACTCATGTAATTATTACACTTTTTCCTTTTGTTATCACTTATGTACCAAACGTGACATAAGGAAGTTCTTTTTATATGGCGTGTTTTTATGACAGGTCCCAAAGCTTTTGTTACATAGAATCTTCCCAAATGTTCGCTACTCTTTATGGATTGACGGAAAGCTCCAGCTTGTTGTAGATCCTTATCAAGTTCTTGAGAGGTGCTCTGTCTCATGATTTTTAAAATGCTTATTAAACTTCTAGCTCATATGATTTCTATTGTGTCAGATGGACTACATCACCAAATTATAATGAAATATGAACTCTTTGTCGATCAAGAATAATAACCACATTATTGCTACATGACTATGACTTCGTAAATATAATTTTTGCTTTGGTTTAATATCTGATGTTGGCAAAAATGAGAGCTTCTGGCAATGTGCTATGATTCTCTAATAACTTGTGTTTGACACTCGCTTCTAAGTCTGAGTAACATAGATTTGAGTTTGACTATAGATTCAGTTGAATTTAATTGGTTCATTATCTTAATTCACCATTCTTCTTCTCAGATTCTTGTGGCGCCATAATGCTAATTTTGCTATCTCGAGACACTACAGACGATTTGATGTCTTTGTAGAGGCTGAAGCAAATAAAGCTGCAGGAAAATATGATAATTCATCGATTGATGCACAGGTGGATTTTTATAAAAAAGAGGGATTAACACCATATTCTGAGGCCAAGCTTCCTATAACTAGTGGTATGTACAATATTTTGTATAAATACAAATATATACATGCCTTATACAGTTTTTGTACCGTTGTCTACTAAAAATCTATCTTTTTGGTGTTCAACTGGTTTTGTGCAGATGTTCCTGAAGGTTGTGTACTCATAAAGGAACATATTCCAATCACAAATCTTTTTACCTGCCTGTGGTTCAATGAAGTTGATCGTTTTACGTCTCGGGACCAATTAAGCTTTGGTATGGTGAGGGATAAGATAATGGCGAAAGTTGATTGGCATATCAATATGTTTTTGGATTGTGAACGACGCAATTTTGTCATACAGGTACATATTCTGTATTTGCTATTAACTTCACGAGATTACTAATTTCGAGCTATAATATATATTAATTTTTGAATTCTTCTAATATGTTAACGCTAGGCCTCGAGAATAACATGTTATATGTTACAATGTAAGAAGTCACTTACATCAGTGCTTGATATGCTTGAGTAAGGAATTGTGTTTTTGCGGTAATTTTTTTGTTTAGAGGGATTTATTCGGATTTTATTGGATACAACCAGTAGCAGGAGCTTGTAGGTACGATAGGTGCATGTAATCAATTTCGGCTGCTTTTCTCATTTTTCACAGGCATATCATAGAGATCTACTGGAGCACATGCCTCCACCAGTTGTGATTCGACGCCCACCGGCTTTGCCAAATACAAATGTCCATGGAAGAAATCAAGGGAAGAGGACTCCAAGACGTGGTAGGGATAAGAGATCTGGTTCGAGACGTCACCGTAGGGCTTCTGCTGGTAATAGAGATGGCACTTTCTTTTAAATGCTTTTTGAACCAAAAAGAAGAGAAGAGAAGAGATCTCGTTCTCTTTCTTCATTGCCAACCATCTTCTTTTCTTTCGGCAAAAACAAATTTACTTCTTTTCTTCATCGTCTCGGAATAGGAGGACTAGTTAGCTAATTTTAGGATTATGGCACAAATTTGTCTGGAAAAATTTTTGCTATCTATTATTTTATTGTTGTACACCCTGAATGAGCTTCATAAATGCTCCGCCCTCATTGTCCTTGTATCTTGCTTTCAGTCATGTTTTTGTCACATGCATATATGAGAGAAAATTATGAATTCCGGGGCATAAACAAGAATACATAAAAGACAGAAGCTCAGCTACACATATTTCTTGTTGGCAGAGCTGTATCCACTTCGATCATCATGGTACTTTGACCAGTTTGCCGAACCTTTGATGTCCGGAAGTACTTGTGAAGTAAGATCCGACACCGGGATAAAGCCGCAACTGGCTGCCTAAGGTGATGCAGGAAGTCCTAAGAAAATCAAGGTTGCTGGAACATCTGTAGTCCATTGCTCCCATGCGTCTTCCAGGTTCTTAATATAAGCTTCTGCTTATTGGCATTGAGGGTTGCCGTAAATTGTAACCAAACATAGTGGAAAAGACCAGTTTTAAAGGCACAATCGATCCAAGCATTATGTTAACTCGTATGAATTCCTATAATTTTGTGTTTAATATATATTTTTATATATTTTTCACATATATTATATAAAATAAATTTTAAAAGGCAAATTCATAAAATGAATTCTTAAGAAAAAGGCCAGAGGGCCAAAACAAATTTCATAGAAATGGGCCAAAATAAAAAAAGTATATGTTGTTTGTAGTATAGATTAATCCAGCAAAATTGGTCCAATAGGACAAATGGAGAAAATAATTAGTCCAATAGGACATGTTAGAATTTATTTTGAGATCTACGACATTTGTTATAATGTCCAAAGAACTCGTTACGTTGATGTGATGAGTTTCAATGGAAAATATATTTTATTCGATCGATTTGTCTGGTTGAATATTTAATTATTTTCCTTGGAATTCATCATGACGAGTTTAATTAAAATAATATTTTTAATATTTTTCTATTATGGATTTTTTTTAAAGTGAAAAAATGAAACTCGTCATGTTGAGGGGGCGAGTTCCGTCTATCGTATTGAGGTTTTGTTTAGTTCAAAGTATTAAATGGTGTGATTTGGGCACTAAAATAAATTTTTGTTTATAAAAACATTAATTTAAGAGATAAAATCGATGAATCATAAACATTACATTAAGAAGATAAAAACAACAAACTAACATATTACATTAAGTACATAAATACAACAAACCTTACACACACCATAAACAATAAATAGAATCATAAACTTAACATATCATGGAGTTTTTATGATGTTTTAGTCCTCGTAATCAGTAAACTCGTCAGAAGTAATATTCAGTTCTTCAATTCTCCATGTTTTTTCTTATTTTTGTTCACATACAAATTGGAATCATGCTTTTGGGTCTCCATCATCTATCTCTATTTCTTCATCATTATTCTAAGTTTGTGGGATATTTGAGCTGGAAGTAGGATCCTCAACCATACGAGCAAGGTCGCCATCACCAAATTCTACAAACAAATCTACATTAGACATAGAATGATAGTAGTATGTCTCAATCATAGCAGCAAGGCCGACATCATCGCTTAGATGAAACCCCGTGCATGATGGTGGCAATTTATAATATAATGAAGATATTCTTCTATTGCTTTCGAGTTGAACACTTCTTTCTATTTTGAACTTCAACTCGTTTAGTTGATTTTTTTTTAAAGACATGGTTAAAGCTTTGCAATCATAAAAAATAAAAAACAATTGCAAAATTAATAGTCATGTTAGGAAAAAAAGTCAAGCTTTGGAAGTGAAAGACTCAAATTTTCTAAAATGTTTTTTGTTTTACCTCACACATATTTATAGGCCTTTAGGAAGCGCTTCATATAGGACGAGCTGACATAACAAAAAATAGGTTTATGAAAAACTACAAAAAATAAATAAAAACATTTAAAAAAAATAGGTTTATATCTGTCCTTGCTTGATATAACAGCGAAATTAAGTGATATATCACTGAAAAGTTTATGTGGTGAAGTGATTGGACACTAAAAAATTGTTGTCATTGTGTATTAATTGGTGTATGAAAAAATGACGTTTTTATGAAATAAAGTGATAAATCATTGAAAAATTTATGAAATAAAGTGATATATCAATGAAAAGTTTATGAAGTGAAGTAATTGGACACTGAAAAGTTATTGTCATTGTGTATTAAATGGTGTCTGAGAAAATTATTATTAAATGGTCATTGATGATAGCTCGTTTTTTAAAAGTTTTTGAAATGAAATGGTATATCATTGAAAAGTTTTTGAAATGAAGTGGTATATCGTTGGAAAGTTTTTATGAAATTAGTTGCCCTATTGGTCCAAAAACCGATTAATCCTCTTGTTACATGTTTTTTTAAGTGTCTATTAATAGTTGAAATGATTTTTATTTTTATTTTTTTGATAAGTTTGATTGCAGAAGTTGTTATTGGACCTTTTTTCCACTCATTTTTTTTAAGATAAAAGGATAATTATGAAATATCATTCGGTGAATGTGCAATTTGTTCTTTAGATTTAAAGAAGCATGTGGAAGTACGATCAATTGAATTGATTTATAAAAATAATATAATCTTATTTTATTAGAATTTAAGTTTTTTTCTTAAATAATCTCGAGTGATTATGAAGTAATGCATGTCTATGTATTTTTTAGATTATTGATAACGAATACATATCTCGTAAGTATAATTATTTAAATATACATTTTCTTAAAAGAACAATATCCTCTTTTACGACTAAAATCACTCGATAAATTTATGTTATAAGTAAAATTACGTAGACAACTTAACCTAACCTAAACTAAAATAATTATGAAAGGGTAAAATTCGAAAATTGACATTAAACCCTAAAACTTGAACGTGCTTCATTCGCATATATATATACATGTAAGATAGTATTTAAGAAAATTCATCACCCGATTCAAGATGCATAAGAATGGTTGAAAGTGATGAGCAGGCTAGAGGTGTAAAAGACGGCTGTGTTTAAGAATGGCGTTGCAGGCAAAACAAGTAGTCATGCAATCCATGCTTCCGGATTAAACGAACAAATCAAACAAAAACATTCATAACCCATTGGTTTGATTGAGGATCGAAAGAGAAGAAGGCACACAAAGCTGGTGTCGGTAACAAAACTTGCAGTCTTGAGTCTGTCGGTGTTTTTATCTTTAAGCTTCTGTTTGGGTCATAGGTTCCTCCTGGAACATCACAACAACGATGGCGACGACCACAACAAGAACATGGACGACCTTCTTCCTGATCACGTCCATGCAGCCAGCAAAAGTCATGAGATGAACGCCGATGATACAAGAACCGCTGTAATTGGTGAGCCCGGTCTTCTTGATAATCTTAATTCCGGATGTCAGGAGAGATGTAATAATCACCCTAGTTGTCCCACTCGACCACCTTGTGCACAAGTCCCGCAAATCCCACAGGTTCCATGTTAGAATACTGTAAAACTGCTGTAGGTACAGCACGTGTATGTAAGGGTGGTTAGGCTGTTAGGTTGTTAGTCAAGTTAGTTAGTTTGTTAAGCGGTTAATGACTAGCTAAACAATTGTTATAAAAACAATGTATCAGTTGATATGAATTCAAGCGATTCTTTACTGAGCATATTTTTTCTGTTGTTCACACTTCCTAACATGGTATCTTTCGCCAAACGCTCTGGGGATTTCTTGTAAGCCTCCGCTGCTGCTGCTCTCTCTTGGTAACGATCATGGAGTCGTCCAAGAACTTTGCACACAAGAAAGTGAGTGTTCTCCTTGATGAGATGAATTTTCTGTTGTGGAAGCAACAGATATTACTCACAGTCCGAAGTCATCGCCTCGAGCGGTTATTAACCGGAGTCTTGAAGCCACCACCGGAGACGGTACTTGATAGCAATGGCGAAGTGACTGTCAATGATGCCTTTGAAGAGTTCGTGGCACAGGACAGTGCACTAGCGTCGTGGCTCCTTTCCACCATCAGCCCGCACCTACTGCCGCAGTTTGTTGGAGCAGATTCGGCTGCCACAGTATGGAGCACGGTGCAACAATTGTTTTCCAACAGATCTACTACCGCTGCTATGGGACTTCACTGCAAGCTGCAGTCGCTAAGAAAAGGGAATGACACTATGCGGACCTATCTTTCCCGCGTCAAGGAGGTATGCGATGCACTCGCCTCCTGTGGAAGTACAGTACCACATGTTGGTCATATAGCCAGTATACTTAAGGGGTTACCCAGGGAATACCAGCCGTTCATGGCGGTTATCACTACGATGAAGGAAACGCTCTCCCTCGAAGAATTACACACAATGCTTCTAGATGCTGAAGCCCAGTTAGCTGGATTTGATGAGTCCATGGAATCATTGCCTATGAGTGCGAGTTTTGCTCAACATGAGGCAAAATACTCCGATGACAACCGAGGTTCCAGGTCCTCTCGTCCCTCCTCAAGCAATCGTTCTGCTGCTCGTGGTCGAGGAAGAACCAAAATTCAATGCCAATTATGTGGCAAGCTTGGTCATCTTGTTGACCGTTGTTGGCATCGGTTCGATGAGGATTTCATGTGTGTTACTGCTGAGCCACGGTCTCACAAAGGTCAGTCTGCTAGTGCTCATCACTCGACTGTTGAAACTAGAAAATCATCCTCATCGGTTCGATCGGCTTAATATCGCCCACAAATAATTTCGGGAAATGCGAGTATATTTGTCTTAATATTTCAAAACTTGGTTTACTAAGGATGATTTTCGCTTTAATTTTTATTTTTGAAAAATATTGAAAATAACATTTTGATTGAGATATTATAAGAATGAAAAATATGTAAAATCTAGAAAATAAAATATGTTTTAATTACTTTTATTAAAGTTGTTTCAAAAGATTGAAAAGCGAAAATAATAATTTTAAAATGATAAATCGATAATGATTCAAGTTTATATAAATTATTTTCCATATAAGCTCATTGTATTAGATTAGTAACATAGTTATTTTCCTTTTAAAAAGTAGTTTAATTATTTTGTTAAGTTCATCGTTGCTAGAATCTATTAAGTGGTCTCGGTGATTAAAAAGAATATTATTTTCCGTTGAGATTTTGAGTTCGAACAACTACAACTACAAGGGTGTGTGCGTATGTCTCAAAAGGACATTGACATAAACAATTATTCCCGGTTCATTACCAGAGAATCCAGCATTTTCCAGCTTACCACACTCGAAGGAGCTTTATTTGAGGGGTGTTAGTTGAAACTAATAAGATATGTCGCATGCATTCACACTAAAGTAGTGAAGTCATCCAGTATTTGAGCTATACTTCATTCCAAATTCAAAATCAGTAACATGGAAACACTAAAGTTTTATAAACCCGAACGATGTTTTCTGTTTCGGTTCTAGTATGAAACGATCTCAATTCATTCTTTTTCCCCCCAGCATCAGGAGGCCAATTCTAGACAGGGGAACCAAAGCTGTTGTGAAGTATTTGAAAGACAAGATTCCAGAGCGATAAGACAGCATGCCACTGCCATTTACGATTGCCTGAAAGCTCGATCTCAAGTAGTGAAGCTTTTGAGTTTCCTGATTTAGGTTGATGGTGGGGGGATGTAATATAACGAGTGATTGAATCATGACAAAAAAAAGGAGAGAAACTACATAAGCTTATGTTTGTATTAATGAATTCCTACATAATATTTTAACCTTGTATTTCTTGTTCTTTTTCTGCATGTATAGCATGAATAACACAAGTACTTGCTGGTGCAAGCTCATCCCATCTTGATAAGTACATATCAAGAGTGAATATCAATGACAAGCAAACCCTAAACTTAAAATAATAACAGTAACATCACATAGTATTTGCTATTTACATCCCAACAAAAAGTGTTATGACAGCAAAGCATTTCTAAAATCAATCGAGAAACATGACATCACATTTCTTCGATCCCTTTGGTAAACTCGATAGTTTTTCAATGGCATGTAATCGATCTTCGTCACAGGAGGCATAAATTCTAATTACGAGCTTCTCTAGAACTAATGCATGTTTCAGAAAATAACTAATCAGTTCAAACAGACCTTCGTCTTCCTTGATGTACCCTGTTTCAATCTCCTTGAGGTGAAATAGCAAGCATGCAGGCAATGCATTAGGCAGTGACCCGAAACCTTCTTCTGCAGTTCTCTAAACACACACACGCACACACGAAGTGAAGTTTGTGAGTTTAACATGGATATAAATTGTGATCTCGAACGGCTTTCAAATTCAAATAAGTTTTGTTGTACTGGAGGATATAATTGAGTATTTCATTGTAAAGAATGTATAGATTAAATAGTACTTAAACAAGCTTTCATACCAGATCCAGGACAAGCTTCATTAGATTAGGCATGCAATGTAGAAACTCCACAATCCAAGCCGCTTGCCAATCTGAATAATTCACAAATTCAAATTCAACAAGGTTGTGAAACGCAAACACTGATTCAAGTTGCGTTTCGAACACATTGACTTGATTGATAACAACCAAATCTTCAATGGCTAAATACAGAGACTGTATATTACAAATTCTCCGAAGAAGATTTCTTGCATGCCCACGACCCTCGCTGCCAAGTAGAGTGATTTTAACATCAGCTTTCTCTAGAGATTTCATGTCACTTAAAGTACAACCTTCAGCCATGTCGTCGTTGTCGACATATTTGAAATAAACAAGGTTTGGAGCATTAACCGCAACAAGATCGAAACCTCTGTCACGAGCCACAATCTTTTCAAAATCTAGAACCAATCTCTTAAGAGAAAGACTACTGATATTGAGTTCATTTCTCTCATGAAACCGACATCTAACAAAAGCCAAATCTTCTAACAAAGGGCAACTGGAAATTAACTTTAGAACTGAAGGACCATCTCGAAATACAAAGTATGCAAAATGAAGAGTCCTGAGATTGGGTAAACAAGCATTAGATGGAACATGATGGGCACCCGTGATACTCAATTTCAGTGTCACCAGCGACTGGCAAGTAAACAGAAGAGTGGGCAAGGTGAGAAAATTTTGATTTATGGAGTGTATACCAAATTCCTTAACCCCACGCCGCAATGCAGCACATATCCAACCATCAAGGCGTACATAATCATCACGCCATGGAGGGTTAATCCCCCATCTAATTTCACTCTTCCCCAAAGGAATGTGACAATCCACCCAAAAGTCATTCACCCTAAAGCATTCTAAACTTACCCGATTGGGGTTAGAAAAGAATCTATCCACAAATTCCAGGAAATTTTCATCATTTTCTCGAGGCGCTAAGAAACGAGTAAAATCAAGGGTAGATAATGATGAAACAAAAAGATACCTCCACCTGTGTGAAAGAACAGAGGTTCGGGCTGCATCTTTTCCGGGAAGGAATGATAAAACGTCACAAAGGATATGATCAGGTAAGTTACTGATCCTATCTAAGACACCCACAGATTTTATTTGCTTGACCATGGAGATCGCTGGCAGCGTTGCGGTGGGAAGAGAGGAAGCTTTTTCTATTTTAAGAAACAAAGATGGACGCGAATTCAGTGATAAAAAGTTGTTATTATTTGTTGAGGTATGGAGTTTAAACCCTAGGAATACGAGCTTTCATTATTAATTGTCTTATAGTTACCAGATTAACGTAGAAAAAGAAAAAGAAGGTAAAAAAAAGAGTAAATTACATGTTTAATATTTTAACTATTATTTTAATTTCGTTTTGATCCTTCAGTTATTTCTTTTAAAATCATAATTAATGTTATGTTTTGATTTCATTTTGGTTATTTACAAAAACTATTATCAAAATTTCATTTTTGTTAAAATCATATTTTAATTATAATGTTATGTTTTAAAATCATAATTTTGTTGTTAAAAATTTAACAAAACTACTGATATTATAATTTTAAAATTTTTTAGTGGTGATAGAATATTATCTTAAGGTGACATGTTATTATCACAGTTAAGTTTTAGGTAAATTATAAGTTTAGTACCTTAACTGTAATTTTTGTTTTGTTTTGATCTCTCAACTATTTTTTTTTTCAAAATCCATAACTAATGTTTAGTTTTAGTATCATTTTAGTCAGCCGCCGTTAAAAAACTAACAAACGTGATAATATATATTTTTAATTTTTCAATGATGACATGACATTATCTTATGATACCATGTCATTACCACCGTTAATTTTTTAACGACGGATGACTAAAATGAAATCAAAACTAAATATCAAGTATGATTTTGAAAAGAAAAATAATCCAAAATGAAATAAGAGTGATAGTTGAATTACTAAATGTATATTTTAGCCGTTTCGAATCAACCAAGTAAAGGCACATCTTGATTCTACCAGCTGAAGAGAGAGGGGAATGATTGTGTGCCCCATTAAGAGCAATGTAGCATGAACTTCAGCTACGGATAAACTATATTATTCGAATTCGAATGCGTTTAATACGAATATTTTCAAATATTACGAATGTTATTATGATGTTGATTAAGACAATAATAACTACTTAAAGAAATTGACAATTTATTATCTGGCTTGCTCATTCTTCATACTGAAAACGCCAGTCACCTACAATCTACAAAAGAAGAAGGTTTTACAGCAGCACACCATCTAGAATCTAAGATCCACACTACATTCAATCTCAAGGCTCTAACTTAGGCCAACCCCACAAGTTTCTCACTCAGCTCCCATATTTTGCGTGCTTTCTCCTCATCACTGGCTTCCTGAGACAGCTGGTTCTCGAACGAAGCCGAATCCTTGTTCCAGCTCCAGTAAACACCGGATTTCGTCAAGCTCGGCTGGCTCACGACCTACATCAAAGCAGCATAGTTTTTGTTGATTGACGAGACATTAAACAACACTCGATGCTATATACAAGTTCTGCTACTGATTGTTCATTATGTTGTCTTTGTTTATACCTGAGCTAGTCTTTTTCCGGCTTCCTCCTCGGAGACGAAGCCCTTGGTGATGTACTTCTGGAATGGAGGGAAGAGGAGTCGGAACAACGGAATGTGCTCCCTGAACAAGCCGGTGGTAGCTATGCAGCCCGGGTAAAGGGAAGCGAATGTGATGCCGGTTTCCTCGTGGAACCGCTTGTGGAATTCTTGCATAGTGAGCATATTGCAGACTTTGCTATCCTTGTATGCCTTGGCACCGTCGAATTCTCCACCATCGATCATGGTCGAGCTATTCAGTCCATTCAGTCCCCCCGCAAGTCCCCTCATATCCCCAAGGTTGGCCCTGGGAGGTACATTTCCAGCCAAGGTATTCGTGTTTCCTGATTCATTGTACCAAAAAACAACTCCAAGTTAGTATATCTGTATAACAATCTTTTGTAACATGATCATTTCGAATGCATTGGTAGTAATTTACCTGTAATCGAACCGACAATAATGAGACGCTTCGATGGATAATCGGATTGCTTCAGGTCTTCGAGCAATAACCGGGACAGAAGGAAGTGACCAAGATGGTTAGTTCCCACACTAAGCTCAAATCCTTCAGCAGTGAAAGAGGGTTCCTTGGCAGTTGGCTGGTAAACAGCAGCATTGCAAACAAGAACATCAAGAGGCCTCCCCGATCGCTTGTAACTGTCGACGAATTGTCGGACGCTGTCCAATGAGGCAAGATCCAAGTGCATAATGGTGTAATTTTCTTTAGACATGCCAGCAGACTTTGCTGCTCTCTCGGCCTTGAGAAAGTCCCTGCAAGCCATGATAATATGCCATTTCCCAGTTTCAGCCAAGGCCTTAGCAGTGGCTAAACCCAACCCAGAGGAGGCACCGGTTATGATAACACTACCCTTTCTCAGAGTTTTCTTGCCATCCACGGCGGATCTGGTGGTGGCAGGAGCTTCAGTAGCTGTCGTTTGGGCTCTCACAGCTCCATTTCTTTGGTTGAATTCCCTCTACAATGAAACATAATCCTCAAATCACAGCCACAAAAACAGCAGAAACGAACAATATATGAAACATGTAACATCAATGTTTCATTCTGGACAAAAACAACAACAAATGAAACCTTGCATCTTAATGCAGAACAACTGAAATCAGCTTTGACACTGTCAGAAAGTGAAACTCCAAAGAAATTTGAATCCTTGAAAGATGCACAACATTTTCCCTGCAAAAACAATAAAAATCCCACCATTAAAACACAAAAAAGAACCGCTTTCATGGATACAAAGCTTAAAACAAACCTCTTTAGGCACAGAGAAAGTAGCTGGAACCAAAGCAGCTGTCTGTAGAGCCATTACCAACTTTGAACTGTAGAATCCCAAGGGGAAGCAGTATGTCAAACAGCTTTTAATGGTGGCAATTAAATAAGGTGGGAAGAAAAAAGAAAGCAAAGTTAATGGAAGGATAAGATAATTAGGAGGGTAATGTATCGGCCATATCGATTCCAGGTGCGTAGCCAATGAGGGTTTGATATTTGGATTTCCTATGATATTTTTAAAATATATTTTCTTTTTCCTATTAAACAGCATGGGGATATTTCGGTGTTGTGTCCCCAAAATTTATGGGGTCTGGTTTTATGAGGATTGAAAGGGACAGGGAGTGACTATGGTCCCTAGTGGGGGATATAGCGTAATTAGGGATCACATCGGGTCAGTTTAGGGTCGAGTTTTTGGTCGACCCAATCTAATCCAAAAATTTTGTATTCTATATTATACATGATCTGACTCGAAATATATATATCATCCAACCGATTCCGACCCGATCCGATTTTTTTAGTCTATAAATCCAATCGGACCCAATATAAATTAAGGATTTAATTAAAAAATAATAAAAATTTAAATAGAATTATATTATTATCCTCTAATAGATTCAAATCGGAGTTTTTTCACCCTCCGTCAGAACCTGATCCAACTTCACTCCTTAAAAAATTCGACTCAACCCAACCTGAACCATATTTAAAAAAAAATTTGAACCGTCCGACGCGGGTGAAATTGCTATCCCAAGTATAATGGATTAGGGTGATGTTGAATTTTTTGCGGTGACGCCGTAGTTTCATATTGTAATTATGTATATTTGTATAGTATTACTAATAATTGTATTACTAAATAATTTTTTATATACTTGTATCGGATTAAATTAGGTGTCAACTTTTATATTAAAATTTAAGTCATAAGGATATATTTCTCAAATCAAGTTGATTAAAAATCTGATCCAACTCGACCTCCTTAATCGTAACAAATTTAAATACTTAATATAGATGTGATGATAAGATGCATTGTTGTTTTGGACATTTGCTTCACCGTCATTAGGTTTGGGAAATGGGAAATAACAATAAAAGAAAAGGCTTAAATCTCTCAAACTCATAGCGTTGTACAACATGGAATTCACTGATGAAGGATAATATGCAGTAAAAGAATTTCATTTTCAACTCAATAGGCTTTCCACCTCATAGCGTAGTTTTTTTTTTCTTTTTCTGTCAAACGAATCTATACTTTGCCCAACATTCAAGGGCATAGGCACAAACAAAGAAATGGAACTAGCTAATATTACAAATCTCAACCTCTATACACAGGTGGAGAGAAATGGATTGTACTCGCATATTAACTCATTTCCCAACACCCTTGAGGTTCCTTACCCAATTAAATTCGAAATGGCAATCCGAAATTTTGGAAAGTTCTAATCTCACCTCTAAGCCCAGCAGTTACAATCACCATACCCAAGGCTGACATGTTTGGGTTAACCCCAGACAAGTCCACACTCGCCTTCGGGCTGTTCCAGGTCCGTATTGCCGTAAGTAGTTTTTCCTCCGGCCATGTAGCTGAGATCCTGTCAACGAAGTAGCTATTGGTGGCGCTTGAAATGGTCCCGTGGAGAGGGCTATTGTTGCACCTGGATGCAGATAATGAACCCTCATTTCCGCTATACTCCTCAATAGGTGCAGGAGGATGATTGGCTGTTGAAACTTCATCGACATTGTCTTCGAAACGACTTTGATCATTCAATTCTGTATCTCTCAGTCCCCAAGTGTCACCAATGCCTGGCCAAGGGATGGCAACTGATACATCTTTACAGTGAAAATGTTCATAAGAGCGTGTCTCAGTGACTCCTTTATTTCTGCTAGGCCTTGATTCTACATCGTGTTTCCACACGTAAACATAAGAGTCCTCACTAGCACAGACAACATATTTTCCATTTGCCGTAACAGAAGCAGATATTTGGCTGTTTGTGTTCCGAAATCCTGTCACATATAGTCAACAACATCAGTGGAATCAGCATAATTCCATAATCTCATGCACATATTTACATCATATGAAGAATTACCTTTAAACTTGTGAATCAGATCAGTACCATCAACAACCCGAATTCGTGAATCTGCAGATGTGACGAGTACTTCTGATGAACTTCCAGGTGCAAACTGATTGAGAAAGTAACCAGCAGGAGGAAGTATAAAGTGAGCACGAGGTGGCAAGAAATATGAAAAAAAAAGGGGTTCCAAGTAAGAAATGTGCCTTCAATATTGAACATAGAATTTAAAGCAGCAGGGGCATGGGATTACCTGGAAACCTGTAATTTTCCTTTGATGAGATTTCTTCTTTTTGTTCTGCAAATTGATTTGACTTTTCTGTAGCAA